TTTTTAGTCTTATAAATGGATTTAGATATACAATGAATTTTTATCCTTACGGAACTATAAATACATGAAACTCATATATTACCGCTGTATGTTTGTATATTCTTTTGACAATATGTTATTTATTTTTAAGAACCTTGAATAAAATAGTAGCAAGGGTATTAAACAAGTTTATAATAAGAAGGATAGTAATTGATTGCTAGTAGAAGATTTCCATTACAAATGTGTTGATAAAAAAATTATATAAGGTTTTGTCTCAAGTTGATCCTATTCAAATTTCATTAAAATCAGTATATTTTTGGATGAGTTTTAGCAAAATTAATAAAGTGACGTATTTTTACTGTAATATCGTGATTTTCCACTTTAAACTAATGTAACTCAAAGAAAAAATATTGTGGGAACATTTTATCTTTCATTACTAAAAAGGNCTGTAATATCGTGATTTTCCACTTTAAACTAATGTAACTCAAAGAAAAAATATTGTGGGAACATTTTATCTTTCATTACTAAAAAGGGCTTTTAAAAAACATTAATTTGGTGTAGGTTTAAAGATACTCTAAAATAATTGTATGGTAGAGACAAAATAGTAATTCAGTGAAGTAGAGACCAGAGTAAGTTGACATATTTCTTTTATTAATTGTATTTTTAAATTACCCTTTAATGTTAATCGCGATGAAAAATGATGACTACTGAGTTATTTATTTAAAACTTTTATGGAATTCTTTCTTTATTTATTGTATATATTTTGTTATATAATAGAACGAAAAAAAAAACGCTTTACTGGAAAAATTACAAGCGAGCTCCAAATTTCAATATTTTCTTTTTCAATGAAAATACTTGATCACGAGACTCTGTTAAAATTATTGATGAATGTCGGGAAATGGTTGCTGCTCGCCCGCAAGCGTTTTAAAATTTTGACCATTTTTGAGAAAAACACTCGTTTTTACGATTTAAAGATTAAAATTTTCATCAGATCCGTCTAAAGCAGTGGTCGGCAACCGGCGGCCCGCGGGCCGTATCCGGCCCGCGTGGCTATTGAATACGGCCCGCTTTAAATTCTAAATCGACTAATTTAATTGAATATCATTTTGTATAAATATAATTGAACGTTGCGTTTTTGGTACGGGTATTTTATATAAGTCATATTATTATTTTAAGTTTTAGATAGTATTTTTTTGCATAATAAATAATGTAATTATAAATTTTTTTTTTTTATCTGGCCCGCGAACTCTTTTTAATTTGTAAATATGGCCCGAGAATTAAAAAAGGTTGCCGACCACTGGTCTAAAGACATTTATGAGATATCAAAAAAAAAAAAAATTAATTCAATCCGCTCATTTATCATTTTTTTTTTTTTAAGTCCACGCTCATGTTTTGAATAATGGTATTATCTCATTTTTCCATATATATATATATTTTGATTCTGAATTTATATAAAATGAATTTTATATTATATAATTTTATATATTATTTATAATTATATAATATATAATTTTTTCTGTAATTCATATTTAATACATCATATAGTTATCATGTATGAATTAATTGGGTTAGATTATTAACTATATTTTTGTTTAAATATTACGCTAGTTATGTTTATATTTTATTTTTGGTTTATTTAATATAGAGATATTCATGACCACTATAATAAGAATATTACTAGTTACTGTGTACACCAGCGGCGTATTTAAGGGGGATATGGGCGATTGTCTCTTGAACCAGCGCTATCAATATTTTTACTTTTATGAAATATGACTCTAATGACCATTTTTTTGATCATCACTTTGATTTTCAGCAAAAGATTTTCTATAGCATGTTTATTGAAGTAAAAAAAAATAAATACTCTCCTGAAATGATTTCTAAATACGCCTTAGATGAATATTTAAGTAAACAAACGTCAACCTTATACCCAACACGTTTTACTATTTTCTATTTTTGAATTTTCCTGATTTTAATAATTAAATTTTTAATATATTTTTCTTACACTAATTCTGATGTAATATTTTTATTGAAAAACACTTATCTTGTTTGGCGTAGCCGAGTAATACCTCATGGTAGTTCCAGGGTAGTCCACACTTATGCCGATCGTAAAAAAAAAAAGTTAATTATCTATAACTTTACTAAATTCCTAGAGTTTTGTATGATTTAAAAACAGTCTTTTAAACACAGTTTTATTCAATAATTTTTCAATGAATAGAGTAGATTAGTATAAATTTTGTTTTTGATATTTTTACCCATTAAAAAATTGGTAGAGGCGTAAATAATTTGTTAAATTTGACAATTTATTAAATTGTAAGAAAAAATAATTATAAGCATACTGTGCTTTTCAGTCGTTTTTGGAAAATCATATATGTATGAAATTGAAAATCTTAGAAGATGCTATTTTACCCTTGATTTCCTTAATACTTGAACTATGTAACAACACGTTTTTAGTAATGGTCACAATTAATTATTTAATATTTACTTAAATTAATCAGTTATGGAATAAACCAAAAAATAAAGAAATTAATAAAATAAACATGTCTTCGACAAAATGATAAAGGATATATAAAATAGTAGAGTGATCCCGGGGAGTGGAATCCACAATGAAAAAGAAGAATTATTATTTCAAGAAGAAAAAAACTTAAACTAAAAGGTTGACTACAATAAAATTGACTTTAAAATTTCTAAGTAAAATTCAAGTTGAAAAAACAATTAATTCTCAGAGACTAAGAATATTAAGTAGCGTGTAACAAATTTTATGTACTTTGAAATATCCAAAAGAACTTATTTTATAGTTAGAAGAAGGTTGTCTAGTGTACCCTAGAGTTACCATGGAAACTGGACATCCAAATTACTTGTTAAATGTGATTTACTGGACTTCATTGAGGCCCTACACGTAGGCGTTACTCTAAGTTTGTACAATAATTAGATTTTTTTCCACAAGTAACTGGTAATTTTGTGTTTTCAGGAAGAGAACTCTGTTTTGGTGATTTTATATAGTTATCATATGTGACATATGTTTAAAAATGTTAATATCTCTTCAAAATAAAAATAAAACAATTAAAAATATTTAATGTAGAAAAACTTTTTTAAACTAATATTTATCTAAGATAGTTAATATATCCTAGTATGAATAACATCATCCTTTATTTATTTAAATAAATTAGAATTTTATTTTACTATGGATTTATTAATTGATATAATTTAGTTTCCTTATCGTTAAATCATAGAAAAATTATGCACTTGACATTACTAAGTTGACAAAATTATAATTGTCAATTATACTCTATATATCAACGTAGTACATTACTTCATAAAATTTAATGAATTCTATTATATTGAACAATTAAAAGTTATCGGTGTAGAACTGGGAAATTTTAATTAGTAATCAAATGAAAGATAGTATGAGGCGAAACTATTATATAAAATTAAAAAACTATAGCCATGAAAAAAAACCATATATTTATTGAAATTATACAATCAATACAAAATATTTTTATCTAAAACACTTCTCATTGAATATTTGAAGAGTTCATCAGGTAATTATAAAAGCTTACCATAATATTTTTATAGCATTCAAATATTCTTGATTGAAGAAGATAGTGTCTTTGGTTTGAACGTAGCAATGGTTAGAAATTTAGTTTTGATTTCTGTCATTCTATTTAGTGTTTACAAATCTGAACAAGTTCATTTCTTGTCCGACAACTATATCGAAAAACTTAACGAGAAAATATCAACATGGAAGGTAAGCTTTAATTTTTTGAAAAAATTAAAATAAAAAAATCAATAAAATGTTTTTTATTGTGGGATAATTCAACACAAAATTTCAAATATATTATAATTATTATTTAATTTTTAGTGTGTGGTATAAAATTTAAGTTAAGATATGTATTCTCAATAAATTTATTGTAATTTAATTTGCTAGAGTAATAAAAAACAAATAATGACGAAAGAATAAATTTAATTTCTTAATTATTGAGTAAATTTTAAGATTTTATTTTATTTATTTATTTTAGAAAATTAATTTAATTTATCTAATATTCTATCTTTTTATAAAATCATACATACATAATTTCAACTTTATTATAATTATTATTTAATTTTTAGTTTGTAGTATGCAATTTAAGTTATAAAATATAAATTTCCTGTAAGTTTATTGTAATTTAATTTCTTAGAGTAGCAAAGAAAAAATAATAACAAAAAAAAACGGTAGCACAGTGGGGTCGTGGCATAGTGGAGACATTGCATAGTAGGGTCCAGTATAGATTTAATCTGACAGTGATTAAAATCACTGTCATAAGAAACGCTTCGATGCAAATCTGTAGATAGTGTTTAATTTTAAAAAATTGATGGATAATTGCAAATGCAACATCAACTTCTATTAAAATAAAATACAAAACCCATAATTATCATACAAAAATAGTATATTTTTCAATATGGTAGCCATTTGCGTATAGAAGATAGATCGTCGGGACAAATTTTTTTTTTTCATTTTGTAGTACATAAAATAAGCTTTAATTTGATATATGTTTAAAGGACGCAGT